CCTGTCCAGGGTGTACCCCGCCGTCGCCCGATTGCCGGCCGGGATTGGCTCCAGCTAATTCCCCCCACCGTGACCCTGTTCAGGGACTAAGCGGTAGAAAATGAATGAATATCTTTAATAGCACGTCAAGACATTTTGCTTTGTCACTATGGATTACTGGGTGTAGACTGCTTGGCAGAAAGTTTTTAATTTATTCTACAACACAGTAAACTGTGTCTACTTGCAGTTTAGATGTGTTGTTTTTCGTTTGATGCATGCTTCCCTTTAGCTGGCTTTCCACTGTGTGTATGAGCAAGGTAATGTTGTGCATTCCACCAAGCAGCTACTCTTTGCACCTATGAGGCCCAAGTCAATCTGGTGGTGCTGGTCCGTGGCTGAACACTTTAGAAAAGCTGAAGGTTACCCAGCAAAGAAAAGGCTAGAGTCCTGAGAGACAGGAGGGAGGATGAGGAGGACTGTGAGTGAAAGGAGGAGGATTACACAATGAAGAGAAGTGGACTGTCTGCTGCACAGCCAATAATAATATGTTGATATTGAGATGTATCAATGTTAAGGACCTTTCAAATGAGTGGGATGATGCAAAAAATAGGAATGGATGACTAGTAAGGGACAAGAGAAGCAGGCAACGGCATAAATGATGACATTCAGGAAGACAGAGGTTTTAATCATGAAGCAAAATTGCTGAGAAAACGAAAGGTGAAAAATGGCTTTCTTAAATTTGAGGTACATCAGTAAACATCACACTGCCCTTTAACTATAGCAATCAGTGTCTTAAACGCTCACTGCTGTTTATCATTTCTGTTCACAAATATACTACAGTTAACATGCTCCTAATCAGTTTCAGACTGGACTGCAATGAGTAGGAAAAATGTTTACTCACATTACTGACATCAGTTCTCACAGCAGCCATGCTTCCTTCACCTGCTACCTGCAGGAGGATTCTACAACTGATTTCCTGAAGAAGACCCTCAGTTGGAGAGGTCAGTATTATGACCTGCCACAGTCAGGGTCAACATCTTCGTTTCTAACGCACAAACTGTGCCAAGGTGCGTGTGTGAGTGTGTGTGTGTGTGTGCCTTTGTACTGCTTAAACCTGGGGCCGAAATATGTTAACACACTCACATTGTGGGGACTCGGAATACCTTTGTGGGAACCAGCCTCACTGAATTTTAGGGTGGCAACATGGTAAAAGGTTAGGTGTTAGGATCAGGGTTAGGGTTTGGCAAATAGTGGTTACGGTTAAGATTAGGATAAGTCTACAGAAACTGAATGTAAGTCAATGTAAAGTCCCCACAAGGAGTGAAAACAGCATTTTGTGTGTGTGTGCCATACACCAGTCTCTGCCCTCTAGAGAGTGTCTCTGTCAGACCCAAGCCCCACTGACAGGGGCTTTGTGAGGATCTCTTCCAAACCCCTGCTACCTCCTCCTGCCAGGCGAGATTGCCTTTCTGTCGCTCTGGAATAGCCTCTTAACAGAGGGCAACGAGACAGGGTTTGCCATGCCTTGTTGCTAACTGCACTGAGGGAAACCCTCTTTGTCTGGTCACTCCAGCAAGAGCTAATAAATAATAAACAGGCCAGAAATGGAATTCAATGCAAATCCAAAGTAAAGAAGTAAAGTCAAACAGGGGACGCATTATTCAGTGAGCCATCTCTTCCTCTTCAAAACCATTAGTTCATGTGGTTATAGGGTGTGAGTGGAGTGATGGGGAGGGCAGTTAGGAGGACTGCAGCCCATCTCAGCTGACACTGGGCGAGAGGCGGGGTAGAGTTGGCCAGTCTATCACAGGTGATAGACACATATAGAGTCAGACAGCCGGTCATGCTCACATTCACACCAGCATGGTTTGATAGTCGGTGCCCCACAGAGAAAGGTGACGTGTCTGCCTGCGTGAGGCGACAGTGCTAACCGCTGCATCACTGTCAGCCTGCACCTCACCAAAACCCAGAGCATGACAGCAGAGAGAGAGCTCAGAGGATAACCAAGTAGCAAATGGCAGATATTTAAACAGACATTATTTGAACCACTAATTACACTAAAACTATCATTAGAGTATTTATTCTCTTTGAGAAAATCCAGCTAAGCCAAAAAATAATTAATCAAATTCAGCATCACATACTTTCATAAGTGAATGCCTTGGCCTCTTGCCATGTTCTGAAAATGTTATCTTAGCACACTGACTAATTTACTGGTTAGCTGAGCAGTAATGATTGAATGCCTGATTATATTGCCCAAAGCACGACGGGAGGATGTGTGTGTGTGTGTGTGTGTGTGATATTGTGTCAGTGTTTGTGAGCAAATGAGCAGTTCCTATGACTCACACCGAATCCCTCCATTCTCTACATCTGTCCCCACAGGTTGACAAACACAACCGCTGCACACCGACGATGCTAAAAAGAGCTCTGGTTTTACAACTGGTCGACAATGGCAGTTGATACGTGAGTGATGACTGTTTGGAGAAAAATCACAGTGAAAAGGATCAAGTTTTATCTCACAAATAAAAATGATTCATTCTGTGACAAATAATGCCACAACCCGGCTCAATTTATCCACATTAAACATTCAGATTGATCTTGCTTTTACAACTTGGTTTGTCTCAATTTGCTGTAAACACAAGTTGAATCAGATTATACATTGATCTTGTGCCGGGTCGGAAGTTTGTCACTTGGTTGATGAGGGACAATTGGTTTCTACTAGCATGTCAAATGAAGGACAATACATCCTACATTTTATTTTATGGTGAATTTTAGTGGTATTTAGTCACTTTAGGGCCTCACTCAGAAGTACATTGATTCATTAAATCTTAGTTTAATTCCAAAGTTCCATAGTATGAAACATTACCCTTTCTAAACTCTACATGTGGCTTTTTAAGTAAAGTACTAAACACACTTAGTTTTACTGTATGATCTTCCCTGCTGTCATTCAGATTCAGAGCAGATGCCAAATTGGTTGATGGCCCACATCTTTCTTTTAGAAAGCTCATTGCCACACGATTAAGCGGTAGAAATCTGTTTGGTGCATATTATTTTCTCCTCTGTACCTCAGCACACACATTAACATGCACAGACAGTGTGTTAAAAGCTGTCCCAGCGTACATCGCAAACCTTCGCTCTTTAACAGCTATGCTTGTCCACAGATGACGTTGTCATGACAACGGAAGCGAGTAGGAGAGGACGGCAACAGCCCTTCCCCATCTCAAACTTCTCATCCGCCTACACTTTGGTTTTTCTCTCCCACACTGTTTTCTGCCTCTCTTATCCTGCTTCCCCTTCTCTCTTTCAACTCTAATCGTTTCTATGCAGACTTTGGCTGACTTTTGACTGGATTACACATTGCATAAGATAAACTGAAGTGAGTAACCCTAAGTGCATTCACTTAAGCAGTCTGTTCTCCTTCTGGCTTCCTAGAGCTGAAGGATTTCTTAAAGTTCACGTAAACAAGACACCAGGTTTTCATCAGGGTAGGGAACTGGAGAACCACGGTTGGCAGAGGAAGATTTTTGCTCTAGAGCCCTGATCGTTTTCCTAAAGTGTCTGCTCTCTCACTGTAGGTCCTCACGCCCTAGCAAAACAAAACCAAACCTTATCCAAAGTCATAACTATACTTTGTGCATCTGTGCAGCAACAGACCTTCGCAACTATGTGAATGTATTATTTGATCATATGAAAGAGGGTGGTCTGAGTGTGCACTTTGTTTTAGAGTGTATTAGAGACTTGATACGCCTTAAATAAGTATGGTTCCAAAAAAAGGTTGAGACTGGGAAGAAATCTGATCACTGGCCCTGCAGCCACCAGTTCACTGGTCATGTACACACTGACAAATGTCTTGTGTAAACAGGTTTTCTCCAGTAATCTGGTTTGTGTGCATGCATATCATAATGAAATGTGTGTTGTGTTCATGTTCTGTCCACATATTCTCAATTTAGTGAATCTCATTGAGCCAAAACACACCCCTCATTATCACACACACACACATGGATGTATACTTGTAGCCCAGGGGAGGTGAAACAGGCTCTTTGAAAAACAGGTCAGGTGGAAGTCCTGCAGTTACATTTTTGGAAGAAGTTGTTTTGGGACTTAATTAGTAAGGGGCCCCAGATTTGAATGGGCTAAGTGCCCATGAGCTCTCCTCTTAAATCTGGGGCACGCATGCATAAAATGGGAGGACCCATACACACACATACGAACACACACTCAGGTTATAGACACATGCAGTATACGTGCACAGCTGCACACTGAACTGTGGAAACTCTTTCCATACAGTATATCAAGGTTTTCAGAAGAGACAGCTCAGATAGCTATCTGCCAACATCAAATATAGAATGAAAGGAATACTTCACAGTAAATCTCTTGAGCATCAAATGCTCTGTATGCTTGAAACCTGGCTCTGATAACTTGCTTTTGGATTCCCAGCAGTTACTACAGGTTCCAACAGTGAGTCACACCAAAAGTCTCTATAGAAACATTTCAAACCATTTCTATATTATTACTTACTTCTCAGATGTTGCTATTCATTTCAAACAACCACTTTTTTACTAATCAAGCACTGCTGTAAAAGTGCTATCCAGCATAGCTTTAGAATAGCATGGCAACTGTACAACATGAAGAAGGTTAGGGTTAATGGTAGAGAAGCAGATCATTGTCTCTTTCTGGGCTGTAACTCAAAGTCACCACCTCCATCAAGGCATAAACTACACATTCTTTAGAGCCAGCTTCTAAACCTACAGATGTGGCCAGTGTCTGCTATTCAAGGGATTTTCGATGGAATAGTTCTTAATGTTAAAGGGATATTCCTTCATTGATTATAATGGACACTTTCATTTCAATTTTTACATACTCAACAACATCTAATTCAAAGTCTCATCACAGTCGATCATACACAAAACAACCGCAATGCAAACATCCCGAGCATACGACATATTTACTAATAGATGCTCTAAGAAGGATGAAGCATAAGTATTAAGAGCAGGATGGGGCAGTCAAATAATATGATGACTTACTTGCAGTGCTTGTGAGGCCCACTGAGCGTCTCGATGACAAAGCATTCACCACCATTCAGACAGTAGGCCAGATCCTTCTCATGACATGGCTTGAAGTGTTCAGAGTGTAATGGAGGGACAGTTGGAGATGCTGCAGATCAAACAAAGAAACTATCGTTAGTCATATTCAACCTCTTAAAAAAATCAGCCTGTAGTTCAGAAAAACATCAGTGGAGTTGTCTTTTCACTCTACAGTTCTGCAAATAAATCATTTCATTCAGAATTGCAGTAGAAATGTACATCAAGTCAGTTTTCTGCAGAGGGTACCTACTCTCCACTCAAGGATCCATAACAAGAGTCTGCTACTGTCACATAACACACTGCACATTCTGAATAACACACTATTGTTTGTTTGGACTCGGCAAAGTCATGAGCAAAAGATGGATGGTGGACAGGTAATAATCTGTCCTACAGTGATTAATACTCCATGGTCACAGGAGTGCTACTGGAGAGTTTGACTTCTCCCAGCGATTTATCACTGCATGCACGGCTGATTGTGGACAGTACACACTTCTAGAGGACTCTGATCAAAGTAAATTAATGGACGATCTAATAATTGAAATTAATATATGAATCATATGAAGCAGTTTAAGAGAAATGGTAACAGACTTGAGATTTAAAAAAGTCCAAAATGAATGGCATTCTGAGCATATTTGCACTTGTTGAGAGTAATTTATAAAAGAAAAAGATCTGAGAGTTCATTCAACAGTGGTACTTGAAAGTCTGAGATGCAGTGGGTCAGATGTGTGGAGAAATCTGCACCACAGATGATGCTCTCATAATGCCAGAGCGGACAGCTGATGGTTTCCTCTTTGCTTACAAATGGAAAATGAGTGCGCTACAAGCTCTCATTAGCTGAACCTCAGCCATGTTTTTAAAATATAGTGATGAGCCAGAACTTTATGCTTCAGGGATTAAAAATCTTTTTTTATTCACAGGATCCTGTTATTACCACTGTTCTACTGATTATTCTATTAGGTCTTCCTGTAATGCTGTGTGTAAGATACATCTAAATGAAGTGAAAATTTCTCAGTTAACATATTAAGAGATTAATAATAAAGAGTATTTGCATGTGGGGTTGGGAAACAGACACTATTTCAACATGGCCTCAGATTCCTTAGTCAGCAGCGTAAGCTATGTGTGTGGCGAGCTGGCGAGTGAAGTTATGAGCTGATGGCTGCTGATTGGGCTCCAGGGATCTTCAGCAACCCTTGGTAATTGGCAGGTGAGGGACTGGTTTCCATGTGAGAAGGGAGGTTAGGTCAGCACTGAGACATGGCTTTATTAGCTGAGAATGTCAGCAGGTTGGACAAAATGGATCTGAATCAAAGCAATAGCTTGTAAAGGGCTGTTTGATAAGCTAGCTATTCTTTCACTTTTGAGCAGGTCAGCACTTTTAAATCTTAATTAGTTTCTTTGAAACTACAACCACTACACTATATTAAAAGGAAACACCACTGATTGTACACACGGAGAGCAGTTTTTGTCTTGTCATGCACAACCTGTGAAAACAGTGTCTTCTGTGGCTCTGCAGCAGCTTCAGATTGAGAGCGTGGCATTCTCTCTTTACTTGTGTCTGTTAGGATTTGTTCAGTGGACATACAACAACAAATCACTGGAGTAACCCTTCAACCCAAGTGACAAACTAAGGTAGCATGAATTTTTTTTTTTTTTTTGTAAGCTTCAATGATTTCTATGTAATGCAGCTGTCAGCATTACTCTTTTGAGAGAACAATGTCAATCTGCAATTCAAGCAAAACCAGTAATGTACTTATTCAAAAACTGGTGCAAATTTTTAAAAATGCACCTGATCCACTACAGCTTTTGTTAGCTCTTTTCTGGATATAGATATTGCTTTTCAGCAGGCAGGGTTAAAGGTCGCATGGTTCACTAGTAGGGACCTGCCCTCACTGTGAATGAATGAATCATGTGGAACGCCTGGGAACCTTTGGGGAAAAGGTTAAGGAGGTCCGCACTGCTCTCGGGCACTGGCAGACCCTCAGCAGAGACAGAGGATAATGGGAAAAGAGATCAGAAAAAAGGGGGATAACAAAAAGCAGAATCGGGAGTATAGTGGTTTCAGTAATTTAAATACAGTATGTTGGGAAATGGAAGGGGCGTTGTTCAGATCAGGTCCTGCTCACAAGCTTCTGATAATTTCATTATCTCCATACAATGTAAAACCTACACATGCTTGATAGAGTTGCAGGATATAGAGCTGATCTTATATAAATCTTATATAAATGAAAACTACTCAATCACTACCACTAAATATTTGACTGCAGACACTGCAGACCTCTCTCTCTGAATTCTAGACTATTAGCCTTGTTCTTCTGTGCTGGTACTTCTCCAGTGGAGCTGAGTGACACTGTCGTGCTTGTGCTTGCTCCAGTTATCTCCACCTTCCGTCTGAATCAGAATCAGTGTATTTACCATCATTTTCAGAAAGTAACAATTTGAAAGACACAAAAAGATGTCTTGCATTTTCTACCACAGAACACAATAAGCATATAACAACATCAGCAAGAGATATTTTACAGCGCTTTTAAAGTCGTATCTTCCATTAGTAATTTTTAAGACCCATACATTTGAAAAGCCGTCTTGCCCAAACCTGGATTATGAAATGCTAGTGGGCATGTTTCAACTCACAAAATGAAATAAGAATGAATTTGTGAGATATGAATTTACAGACTGTCATCCAGAGCAATTAGTTTAATATGGAATGAACTTATATTCAGTGCCAAAGTTGTTAATTATGACATTTAATAACAGCTTTCTGGCTACAGGGTTGGAATTTGACAGCACACCAAAATCATTTTATAGCTTCACTTTTAACCAACTGCATACTATGCAGCAAACACTGGATGTGAATCCCAAAGACAGTTTACAGCAGCATGAAGAAACTACAGCATGAACATGGATCCATGTAACAATGCAGCCATTAACGTTTTCATTAACTGAACCTTTTTAAAGCTTTACTTTGCAACATAATGCAATTAAACTTCCTTTGAAGAATGCATTTTCTTACTATCTAGAAAGAGATGGAGAAACAGAGTAAGAGGGAATTCATAATCTAAGAAAGCCATTTGGTACGTCCTGACATAATTTATTTGGCTTGCAAACAAAGGCCATAATCACAAAGCACATCCATGTCTTTCTTAGCACTTGCTCTGCAACTCTACTAGGTTTTTTCCCCCAAACATAAAAGATTTCCCTGCAGGCATGATTTCATGCTTGGACTGGGCTGTGCTGTTTTGTTAGTCCTGGCGATAAGTGACAGAAGCACCATTTGTCGTCCTCTCCCTTTGTTTTTTGTTGACAGAGTTGTCACAGTGCACTGTAGGTTGTTTAGCTTAACACTCGTCGCCCGTCAGCTCAGACGTTGTATGCACTCAAAGAATTGTGTCATTTTAAGAGGGTGTGTCGGAGTCGAGTGGAAAAAAATCTTCTCAGTCTGCTGAAAACATCACTGAAAGTTTGCAAAAACTGCTCACAGAAGTCAGATGTCAATCACAGCTGAAGAAAATAGTCCAGTTTATTCTACTGTGCTTTGAAGAGAGAAGGAGGGAAAGATCAATAAACCACTTGGTGCTGAAGAACACAACCCTTCAGTCCAAACTCCCTTTTGACTCTGTCTCCCTCACTCTTCTTACAGGAGGAAAAATGAAGAAGAATAAGAAATTAGCAGATTTTTACCTTTGCATCAAGCCACTACTTGGTTGTAGTGGAGAAGAGGCAGCAGCCAATTATGTAACATTTAATGATGAAATAGGTTTCCCTTCTGACAATGTAACAGTCCATCCATCCATTATCTATACATCTTATCCTGAACAGGGTTCTGGGGGGGGCTGCAGCCAATCCCAAATGACACTGGGCGAGATGCGGAGTCCACCCTGGACAGGTTGCCGGTCTATCACAGGGCTGAAACTTAAGAGACAGACAACCACACACACACAGGCAATTTAGAGTCGCCAGTCAACCTAAGCTGTGGGAGGAAGCCAGAGTACCTGGAGAGAACCCACGCAGGCACAGGGGGAACATGCACACTCCACACAGTAAGGCATCGGGTTGGCACTATCCATCATTTTATTCTTGTTCTTCCATATTGTAAACTCAGATTAGCAGGGGCAATGTACAAAGTCCCTTTCAGCATTTACAAACTCACTTTTGGAAAACTGACAGTGCACTCCTGTCATCTGCAAAGCATGTTTCCATACTACCAAGTTGTCCCGGATATGTTTTGGACAAAGGCAGGATGCTGACCCTGGGGTTTGTGTCTTGACTTCAATGTGTTGTTAGGTTTACAACCATAGGTTATGGTTAAGAAATGGGTCCTCTCAGCATCTACTACACTATGGGGGCATTCCATAGATGTTTTCTGTATTTAATCAAGACCACAGTGGTTTTTAATATTACCTAGTGCTTTGGTTTCTAAAATAACAATAAAAAGATGCTATAGCTGCTGGGACGGTGTACTGCAGCAGAAACAAGTGAAGTACAGCAGTCCTTCAAAATAAATATCATTACCTTTTAAAATTACACATACTGTGTCATCACTTTCAGAACTCATGTGCCTATAGAACATTATTTGTCAGCACCTTGTTCAATATGACCATTACAAAAACGATTAAACGACTCCCTCCTGATGGATGTGTTTAAGGGTTAGCTAGGGCTGGATTTAGAGACAAAAACTGTTCAGTTAAGGTTAGAGAAGGCCTGTTGTCATGATTACAAGAGAAATAATACAGAATGTTGTGAAAACAAAAACAAACTGTTGACTCTATCCCGCCTTTCCAACTTCCTCTTGCCTCATTAAAACATCACACATCCTTCACCGCACTTCTCCAGAGCAAGTAATTATTCAGTTTAGGAGACTCACAGTGCAAACATGTGTAAATCTGAAATCCAGATGGTATGGCAATATACTGTTTGAGTCCACATTTTGTTTGTATTAGAAATGTACTTCCCATATTTCCATGTAATCATGTGACAAAAGCTTCACCACCAAAACTACATATGACTTTATATCTATTTTCAGGCACAAAATGAAAGATATCAAACAATAATCCAGAGCCAGAAATACTCAAATAT